AGACTTCTGATAACTATTTATACATTCGGATTCTCTTTTGCAGCTGGTAATTTTCATGTACTATATGAAACATATGTGGCTCATCTCATAGATTAGAGAGCTCCAGGACAAAATTCCTAATCGAGGTCCCAAACCAAGAGTGAGCCCAGCTAAGACCACAGAAAGTCGATAAGCTTTTCCAAATTAGGTCAGACCACAGAATCATAAGCAAATAGATGGTTGTTTCTTTAAATAACATTAGTTTTGCTGTAGTTTGTTTTTGCAGTGATGGCTAACACAAAGAGCAGTACTGACTTATTGTGCCAACCATGACCTTTCCTAGGATCTGAGTGCAGCATATTTTTATGGGTCATTTCAAAAAGTGTAGATCACACTGACTTCTTCTAGTAGCTGATGTTATCTAAAATTATCTATTCTTTCACTAGAGAGAGTCTGTCTTTATTTCCTTCCATAACTGTGATCTAGTGGATGAAATATATTTGGTTATCTTGAATCATAGAACCCTGGGAACTGCCACAGTTACCAGAATCATCTGTGAAGGAAAGGTAGTAGGGGAGCTACATCTGAGTAGAGTAGGGAAGGACAGGTCCAGATTGTCCCTAACATATGTGATATCAGGTCAAAAGTACAAATGGAAACCCGTAGACCATATGTCTGAATTTTTTAGGTGGTAAATCAAACTAATAAATTTTTAAATAGAATGTATTCTGTTATTCCACTTTGACAAATATAACTTTATACCAACTTGTAAGACCAAGTTTGAATTTAGAATTTTTTTGACCACCTCAGAGTTTTGCACTAGAATATGATAGCACAGAATAGCTGGGCCCTCGCCAAGGGCCCACTCTATTTTCTCCCTTCCTTCAGCTTCAACAGTGTATGTCATAAGGGATCTCATGTACAAATTTGTGGATGCTTCAGCCCACATAACTAACCTTGGTCTACATCTTCCCCTTGATAACCACATCCTAGGTTTCAATTCTAGGAGCACTCCAACAGGAATGCTTTTCAAAGAGAAAAGTCCTATGCAAGCCCTGGAAATGGGATCCAATGCTTTGGATTGTGAATTATGGCAACACATGAACTGGGAGCGTGGATGGAGCTGGGTTCCATGTGGGCCTGTCCCAATGGGCCCATGTACTCCTTGGATGTGCGAGGAGACAATGACTGAGGAGACTCAGAGGCCCTAGAAAGCCTGAGGCTCTGGACTGGAAGGTCTCCTTCCTGGGCTTAAAGGTGTGTGTTTGGTTGGGGATCCCCAGCAGCAAACTCTGAAACCAGGTCTCGAGAGCAAGTAGTTTGAGAGGCTATCTCAAGAACCATAGGTAGAAGTGTGAGAAAGTGAGAGACAGCAAGGAGAAGCCAATTCAGGGAGTGTTAACGAGCAGCTGCCACTGTTAAGAACTTGGGCTCAGGTGCACTGGAAATCTCTAGGAGTTCACGTAGAATTCACCTCACAATTATTCCTACCAAAGGTCAAAGACCCTTGGTTATTTTTCTACTGATTTAATATGTTATTTGTTGAGGACTACAAATGCAACCATTAACTGTCACTTCTGGCCTGGTACATATGAGGACTGAATATTCTCCTATGCTCAGAGAAAGTCCTCAGAGAGAAAGTTGGTTTTCCATAAAGCCATTTGCCTGCATGGAGGATTTAAACACCAAGGGGACCAGGCAGGACATAAATGGCATCTGCTACAATGCAGAATTGGACGGGACTTTGAGAAAACATGTCCCTGCAGGAGAATGATAGTTTGATAGCATAATGTGGCCAGTAAAATTTCTGAATTTTTAAAAATCAAAATCATTCCTACTTCTGCCCATTTTACATTTAAGGGAATGTGGATACTGACTGTTGAATGCCTTAATCCAGGGACGCCTGGGTGACTCAGTGCTTGAGCATCTGCCTTCAGCTCTGGGTGCGATCCCAGAGTCCTGGGATCAAGTCCTGCATCAGACTCCCCACAGGGAGCCTGCTTCTCCCTCTGCCTATGTTTCTGCCTCTCTCTCTCTGTGTGTCTCTCATGAATAAATAAATAAAATCTTTAAAAAAATTCTTTAAAAAATGAATGGCTTAATACAGAAGCGACTTCTTGTTGATTATTTATGATAATATTCCTACTTATGTTTCTGGCACAAATCAATTAAATTACTTCAGATATTTAAGAAAAGAAACAAATATTGTTTTACCAATGTACCTTCAGAAATAAAGCAATCATTTCTGTGAATTCCGTTATGATGGATTCCTGTTTGGACTGGTAAAGGAGAGAGGCTGGCACTGTGCAATCCTTAGGGTCTTTACTCATAAACATTTCATGAGTTGGAAAATGTACACTTAAGAATGTCCTTGGCTTTCACTTTCAGACTCAGATCATTAGGAAGTGGATATTTTTAGGGAAAGGGAAATAGAGTCTAACCTAAAGCTTTTGATAGAAGCTTTATACTGGGACTTGTGCATTTCAATCATTGTTTACTATTAAATGGCTAGTTATTCTTTATCTTTGATGAGAATAGTAATTACTCTTGAGTTGCTTAAATTTCCTGTTCTAAGCAGTTTAACTTTATTTAAATTACTAATCTAAATATTTTCATTCCAGTCTGTTTGTGAAAGAGAACAATGAGGTTTCTTCATTTCTGTTAATAAAGCAACAAATTTGGATCGAATGTTTATCTCACCTGTTTTGTTCTCATGATGTTGCCACAACTCAAATAATTCTCTCAGAATGAAAACAATCAATGAATAACAGATGATAAAATGTGCCTGGAGTCCTTTTCGACAGGAAAAAATTTTATTCTAAAATTAAATCTGTACTTGAATAGGATGGAATAAAAATAACAACATTCTGACAGCCTTTGTTTTCTCTTTAGACTAGCTGATAATCTTGAACTTCAGTTAGATGTAGCATAGATTTCAGAAGTGGTCCATTGTCAGTGTGTTTTTATATGATGTATAATACTACCATCATATGTAGTGTATATGACATATAGCAGTATACAACATGCAACATGCTATATAATATGTAACTAATGTCTTTATAATATATAACACCTAACATGTAACACATATATACACACATCCTCAATTTAATTTTAAATTGATTTAAAGCAATTAATGTTCTTGCAAAAGTGACTGGTTTTCTTGGCATAAACCTCAGTGTATTTGACAACAGGTTTAGCATTTTTAACATTTGAGGTGTTAAATGTGAATGAATTAAAATTATAGCTAATTAATGTCAAATACTTGTCTGGTCTATTGGTTGATAAGCTTGATTTGTTTTCTTGGTTTCAGAGAACTTCCTCATATAGAATTAGATTTTGAACATTTTTTAATCATTTGTTTTTTATCTATTGCTTAAACACTTTGCCATTAGCAGTGAAATTTGCATTATTCTCTTATACTGCATTCTATTTTAGCATTGAGAGATTTTTATAACTATTTTCTCATTTCATGGACAATAAGAAAATGGTGACCTTCAGAAAAAAATTAGTGTTGCTTGGAAGGAAAAAGCCAACATAGATAGCTGCCTACTGTAAGAATTGATATTAGCTATTGATTTAAGGTTAATGGTATAACAAGGTGATATGAGAAGTATTAATTGGGCATTCCTCTAACTGCTTCCCTCGGTTATTAACTAGGAAAAATTATTCCATCTGCCTGTCAAGCTGCAAATTATTTTGATTACTGTGGCAAGCAATAATGCTCACCAAATATATGTACCTGTCTCATTCTCAGCCCCCATTCAGTTAGATAGAGCCATGTGGTTGGTTCTGGCCAACTAAATGCACAGTTGGCCCTTGGACAATATAGGTGTTAGGAGCACCTATCCCTTACACAGTCAGAAATCCCTGTGTAACTTTTGACTCTTCCAAAATTTAACTAATAGCCTACTATTGACCAGAAGCTGTAACCAATAGCATTAACAGTTGACTAACACACATCTTGTATGCTATATGTATTATGTACTGTATTCTTACAATAAAGTAAGCTAGAGGAAAGAAAATATTAAGAAAATCCGAAGGAATGGGGATTCCTGGGTGGCTCAGTGGTTTAGCACTTGCCTTCAGCCCAGGGCGTGATCCTGGAGTCCCACATCGGGCTCCCTGTGTGGAGCCTGCCTCTCCCTCTGCCTCTCTCTCTCTCTCTCTCTCTCTCTCTCTGTGTGTGTGTGTGTCTTTCATGAATAAATAAATAAAATCTTAAAAAAAAGAAAACCCTAAGGAAGAGAAAATGCATTTCTAGCACTGTACTGTGTTTATTGAAAAAAGTCCATGTATAAGTAGACTTGCATGGTTCAAACCTGTGTTGTGCAAAGGTCATCAGTAATGTGTATTATTATTATTTTTTTCAAGACATGCTCTCCTAACCCGAGCCTGTATCACATGCAGTTCCACCGTGGCTGTGCCTCTATTCTCATTTTCTGTTTTTTTTTTTTTAAGATTTATTTATTTATTTATGATAGACATAGAGATAGAGAGAGAGAGAGAGAGAGAGAGAGGTAGAGACACAGGAGGAGGGAGAAGCAGGCTCCATGCTGGGAGCCCGATGTGGGACTCAATCCCGGGACTCCAGGATCGCGCCTTGGGCCAAAGGCAGGCGCTAAACCGCTGCGCCACCCAGGGATCCCTTTTAAGCTGAGCACTGAAAAGCCCTTGAGCAAACTTCTAGCCACTTTTCTTCCCCTGATCTGTCAACAAAGGAAGAGAGGTATCCTACTACCACCTGCAAGATAGTGGTATCTTTCATAACATGGATCCCTGAGTGACTTTATGGAGTAGACCTTCCTGTGACCTATGCAGGATATATTCTGTCATTGATAAACTTGCTGGTTATGCCCTGGTGATTGACTGGTAATGTGTTACTTCAGGATAAGCTAATCTTTTCTGGATTATATAATATAATTAAATGCATTAGTATTAAATATTGTTTTACTCCAAAATAAATTTTGGGATTTGTGCCATCATAAATGACCAAGATATTTTTTAAATTTTTTTAATAGCTGCAGATGGATCTGTTCTAGTTCCTCTACAATTTGTTCCTCTCAGTCCTGGACGGTACCCTTGTAAAATTTTGCTGACATCACAATATGATGTGCGTCTCTATTGCATTGAAGGTGTGGTAAATGAAGAACATCCAGAGGCCAGATTTGAATTTGAAACACCAGCATTTGAAGCCCTTACGCAGCATATTCCACTAGTAAGTGCAAACATTTTTTTGGTATTTTTCTTCATTCCCATTGCCACTGTCTCAATTAAAGTCCTCCAAACCTCTCGTCTTGAATGATTGCTATTTCTAATTGCATTATCTGCTGCCATTTGTTTCTCCACATTGAGGACAGAGCTTTATTCTTCAATATAAATGTTATCATGGGGATCCCTGGGTGGCGCAGCGGTTTGGCGCCTGCCTTTGGCCCAGGGCGCGATCCTGGAGACCCGGGATCGAATCCCACATCGGGCTCCCATGCATGGAGCCTGCTTCTCCCTCTGCCTGTGTCTCTGCCTCTCTCTCTCTGTGACTATCATAAATAAATAAAAATAAAAAATAAAATAAAATAAAATAAATAAATGTTATCATGTTATGTACCTCACTAATCACTTCTATTGGATCTCTTTACTTCAAAAATTAACTTCAACTTCCTTAACTTATCATCACATTCCTACTCAAAAGGAATTCTGGCTCTCACCAGGCAGTGTTATGATCTGTCCAATATCTGCTACAAATTCAGGTGTGATCTTCACAATTAAGATGGTTTCATGGTTACTGAGAACAATAATTGACTGTAGCTTGGCTCTCAAAGTGACATACAGCATAGAAGAAGGTAATATGTTTGTAAGGAATGTTGGATTTTCTAGACTAGAAATTGGTTTTGTTTCTTTAATTATTAAAGATACAAAAAAAAGTCTGCTCAAAGAACAAAAATTTGTAATGATGAAATGTGTAAGCTTTGCTATCTGAACAATCTACCAGATAGATTGCCCATAATTAGAAGTAGAATGTGTAATTCTAAGACCATTTTATAATTTTCACAATAATTGATAAATCAAACAAATATCTCTTTAAATATTAAATAACCCATGGAACAACCTATTAGACAATGCTCCTATATGACAGTGAAAGCATAGTCATCCTTATGCTGTATGTTCACATTGTTGATAGTTGTTCTTAACAACCATAACTTTCAAAAGGTGATTCTTATGAAATGTAATTTAAAATACAATATATAATTTTCTTAAAAACACCAAGAATTAATACATAATTCGGCTTCATCAATATCACCCTTCTGATATTTCTCTATATTTTTTCATGCTTTAGAATAATAAAACAAAGAATGAATGGAAATGTCAAGTTACTATAGAAGGAGAATGGTTTTATGGACCTCCTGTTTTATATGTTGGACCAGGTGAAACTGTGCAATATCCTCTTACATTCAAACCCATTTTTGAATGTGAGATTATGGTATGAACTCATTAATTTTTTCCTACTATTAATTTGTCAATAAACTGATGTATGATATTAACATTTATAATTTATGATAAGCCTTTTTGCATAAAAGTTATATACTGTATGCTTTTGATCTTTAATATTTACTCTGCTTCAAACTTTAATAAATCTTTTAACTTAAGGTATAAAATTTCTGAAATTCACAATGCCATTGGCTGCCAGTACCTATGTCTAGATTATCTTTACATAACACATTTAACAAAGTAAAATCATTGTTCCTTTGTTTTTATTCATTAAGGTAGTTGGTACTTCAGAAAATATTTCCTTAAGACATATTTCTTTGACAAGGACATAAAAATGCATATAATTGCTATGTATGAGAATGCCTATATAAACTCTCATTCTCTCATTTATAGAATATAAAGAGAAATATAGAGCTTTTTACAGGATATTCATCTCTATTCTTTCAGTAGAAGTATTTATACATAAACTAGAAAAGTCAGTGATTGACACCTCCTTGAAAGCTCATTTCATTAATCAGATTCAAAGTTAATAGGATAGCAGAGATTGTTTGACATCCAACTGTGACTCCTATAGAGCTGAAATTTGGCTGATTTTTCATAGGGCAGACTTATTCTACAAAATGAAGTAGATGGTATGGAGCATGTCTTTGACATAAAAGGGATTGGAAAAAGACCCCTGGCCTTGGAACACATCACTATAAACTGTCAAGTAGGGAACATAACAAATAGGTCCATAATGGTGCCCAATTATACAAAGACCATCCAAACATTTAAGGTAAGATTGTTTTCTTTTTTAAGGATGAAAGTGTTTTCAGAAGGGCTATATTAAATTATACGGAATTTTAAAGACATTTAATTTTACTTAACTAGGTGAAGTGTCACATAAGGAGATGTTTAGAACTTTATTTTTTGTTAGGCCAACAGCTATTAAATTTCATTTCAATTGTAAAGATGAAATAGCACCAAACAAGTTTTGTACCTAAGTATTACTACATAATCATAAAGCACATTGAAATCTACTTATTTGAATCATGTATTTTTACCTGGAGAAATTATATATGATAATAAAAGGTATTTTCCAAAATATTTTTGACAGATCTTAAAATTTTTTAATTTATTTATTCATGAGAGACTCAGAAAAAGAGGCAGAAACAGAAGCAGGCTCCCTGTGGGGAACCAGATATGGGACTCGATCCCAGGACACTGGGGATCTTGCCCTGAGCCTGCTCAACCGGTGAGCCACCCAGGCATCCCAGCTCTTAAAATTTTAATGTGAAATCTGTAGATCCAAATTTCAAAAGTGTATCTTGTCATTTATCAGGGTGAATAATAGTTGGAATGTGAAGAAGTGCATAATTATTTACATCCTTTTTTTTTTTTTGAAGTTTTACATTTGGCTTCCCTCACCTGATTCAAACCAATCCCAAAATAATTTTTCCCACTCCCTGCTCCCACATTTATCAATAAATTGTTGTTTGTCTAATAGAATCCTTGAAAGAAGCTTCACATATCTATTCATCATAGGTGCCTGGGTTTCAGAGGGTACTGCAGAAGTTTGGAAATTTTCCAAGTTTGCGCTCTGATTTTTGTTTGTAATCCTGAAAAAAATACGTGCTTTGGTTTTCTTCTCTCCTTACTGGATGGCAAATGGAGTGAATATTAACAATGAAAATCTCATCTTGTCACTCCTCTGCTGAAACTTGTCAGTATCGCTTCTTGCCGAGGGGATCGAATCCATACTCCCTGAATGGGCTTTCACTGTCCTTTAAAAACTCATCTGCTCATTTTCATCTGTTGCCACTCTTGGCTCCAGCAGCACTCAGCCCTTTGTAAACAGTATTTCCTTTTGTTCCCATCAAGAAATCTCTACCCAACTCCCTTTCTACCATTTATCTGGGATTATTTTACTCCTTTTAATCTTTAGGGTAAGTCTTAGATGCCACTTTTCCAAGAATGATAATCAACAGTATTTTCAAAAAAAATTTTAAACAGCTTTTAACATTTATGGATTATAGAATTAGGGAGTATGCCTTTCATATGCTTACACAACATTTTTTTTACCTGTTCCACCATCAAACATGCTATATCATATTGCTATTACCTTTTTATTGTTCTCCACCAGATTATAAACTGAGAAAAGGGGCATGCCTCTCCTATCTACATTTGAAACATAAATTATAGTATCGATCATATAATAGTTTTTCCAAGAAGATTTTCCATACTTTTTATATTTAAAGAGCTCCAACAATTATAAAAGAACACACATGTATTTAAGAAACATTTGTTCCTAGAGATATTGTCAAAAGACACAGTATCACCTTTCTTAGTTTAAAATTTACCATTGTTTTTAATCAACACAGAATAATGAGCATTACAAATTTGCCCTCTCATTTCATTCATAATTTTTTTAATATTTTATTTATTTATTTATGAGAGACACACAGAGAGAGAAAGAGAGGCAGAGACACAGGCAGAAGAAGAAGCAGGCTCCATGCAGGGAGCCCAATGCAGTACTCAATTCCAGGTCTCCAGGATCATGCCCTGGACTGAAGGCAGTACTAAACCGCTGAGCCACCCAGGCTGCCCCACAATTTAGTACATAATACAAGTTTATTGCTTGTATTTCAATAGAAATTCTCTTGAGGAACAACTGAGGTAGCAACAAGGAGAAAGGCTGGGCTGAGAATCGTTGCTTTATACTTCCAGCTTTCATCATACTCTTTGGTACCACTACAGTGCTTTTGATTCTCAAACTTCATTCCTTCAGTGAAATGAAGGTGACCTCAGTGCACTCAAGACTGATTCACATGGACGCCTGGGTGACTCAGGGGTTGAGCATCTGCCTTCAGCCCAGAGTGTGATCCTGGAGTCCCGGAATCGAGTCCCACATTGGGCTCCCTGCATGGAGCCTGCTTCTCCCTCTGCCTGTGTCTCTGCCTCTCTCTCTCTCTCTCTCTCTCTCTCTCTCTCTCTCTCTCTCTGTATCTCATGAATAAATAAATAAAATATTTTAAAAGACTGATTCACATTCTTATCCTCTGCTCTTTCTGTCTCTTTCAGTATCTTCCTTTTTGTGGGATTATTTCCCGTACTATGAATATTCTCAAATGTTTCCATTATCAGAGAAAACATGTCTGTATGTTACTTATCCTTCAACTATTATCATCTTTATTGTCCATGATTGCTAAAATTTTTGAAAAAGTGGTGATTACATGATCACTTCTTAATTTGTGGTGGATAATTTATAGCTCTATTGTTTTTCACAGCTGTGCTGTGAAACTGCTGCCACAGAAATCGCTCTGGACTTTGGGTCAAGAAAAATCACTTATGGACACCTGGGTGGCTCACTTGGTTAAGCGTCTACCTTTGGCTTAGGTCATGATCTCAAGGTCCTGGGATCGAGCCCCACATCGGGCTCCCTGCTCTGTGGGGAGCCTGCTTCTCCCTTTCCCTCTGCTTGTGTTCTCTTTTGCTCTCTCTCAAGTAAATAAATAAAATCTTAAAAAAAAGAAAAAAATAAAAATCACTTTTTCTGCCAACATATCTGCCTCAAAACTCATGTAGTGTTTGACAGTGTCAGTCTGCCTTCTTAACACTCTCCACCTTTTATTTTATATCATTCTGTATTCTTCATTTCCCTGTCATTTCTTGATTATTACTTATCTGGTTCTTTTATTCCTCTAACCTTCTGATGTCTTTTCAAGTTTCCATCTTCCAAAGTATTCTTATGTTTTTACATCTCACCTGGCAATTTCTTGGCTCTAAACTGTCATCAAGGTACAAATACCAAATCTACACTTTTACTCAAGACATATGTGTTATCTCTGTCCCTCATTCTCAACTGCTTGCTGTACACCTCCACTTTGACAATCTGCTAACAACTCAAACTCAGTATATTCTTTTCATATCTTTATTCTATTTTTCATTGCTGTAGGGTTTTGGTTTTGGGGTTTTTTTTTGTTTGTTTGTTTGGTTGGGTTTTTTAGAGAGAAAGAGAAAGTGTGAGAGAATAGGAAGAGAGAGAGAATCTTAAGAAGGCTGCACACCCAGCACAGAGCCCAACACGGAGGTTGATCTCATGACCCCAAGATCATGACTGAGCTGAAATCAAGTGTCCAATACTTAACCGGCTGAGCTACCCAGGCGCCCCAGCTAGTAGTCATTTTTATACCTTTTTAAATAGCCTTTTAAGTTATATTTCATCTTACTGCTGCAAGAATAGTTTTCAGTAGCAGGTTGAGACTTCCTTAATATGAAAGAGAAAATAAAAAATCAGAGAACACAATTGAGACACAGGTGAAATGCTGTGGCATTTTATCCAAGTGATCAAGTAGTAGAAAATAGTTATGCAATACGGAAAACAGCAGATATGGGATTTCCAGAATGGTAGAGCAAGGAGTTGCATACATCTGTTCCTCCTCAAAAGCAATAAAACCCTGGCAAAAAACTGTCAATGTGAACATTTTCAGACCTTGAATTAAACAAAAACTTAGAACAATCTGAGGAGTGTTTACACAAGAAAAACTTGGGGGACCAAAATCAAGAGTCAGATGCTTAACCCACCGAGCTATCAGGCACCCCAAAACGTACAGACTTTGGTCAGTTCCCCAGCAAGGATATGCACGTGATCAATAAGCACGTGAAAAGATACTCAACATATTAGCCATTAGAAAAATGCAAATCAGAATCACAATCAGATACCACTTCACACTTAACTAGGATGGCTATAAGCAAAATGACAGTAAAAACTTGGAGGGAAGATATAGAGAAATAAGAGCCATTATGCCCGTTGGTAGAAAAGAAAATAGTACAGTCACTTTGAAACAGGTTTGGAAAGCAGTAACTTTAAAGGTTAAACATTGAGTTACCATTTGCTACAGTAGTTCCACTCCTAGATACATACACATCCATAAGAAATGAACATCTATGTCCACTTCAAAGCTCACACATGTTTTTATAGCAGCATTTTTCATAATAGACCAAAGTGGAAACAACCCAAATTACCATCAGCTTATACATGGATACACAAAATGTGGCATATCGTGACAATTTAGTATCATGAAAAGAAATGATGTACTGTTATATACCACAATACAGATGAACCTTGAAAACATGATGCTAAGTGAAAAAAAAGCTAGTCACAAATGACCACATGTTATGATTTCTTTCCTACAAATTGTTCAGAAGAGGCAAGTCTGTAGACCCAAAGTAGATTAGTGTTTTCCTAGACAGTGGGGGGTAGTAAAATGTACCATTCAGTGATCTGAAAGTTGGATTCAACCAGAGTTATGGTCGAATGCTGCTTAAATATACTTTATTTGCTGTATTAATATTGATGTAGAATGCATTGAAATGGTTCATCTTTTGTACATAGAAATGCATAAAGAAAATTATGCATGGCCTATAAAAGATATTCAGGATATCTAAGCATCAGTGATCTTGTTACAAGTAGCAACAGAAAATAAGCATTGTTCTTTTCATAAGAATCATTTTTTGTCCTATTTTTTCAGAAGTTTCTCCTCTGATCTTTCTTTTACTGTATATAGTGTTTTTCTGGTTTGCTTTTCATTTAAAGGTGAACAGTTTTATTTTTATTATTTTTTTATTTTTTAAGGTGAACAGTTTTAATGGAAGTATTTACATTTTCATTTTTTTCTATGCTTTAACTTGTTACATAAATTTCATGTAAATATTGACATTCTGTAATTCTTTGAAATCTCTTTTCTAGGTAACTTCAGATCTTCCAATAGTGTGGGGAAATCCAAACATCACCATAGACCCTGATAATGCAGTTCCATATACTCTCCATGTATCCCCTGGGAAACGTGGTGTATTCAAAGGTAACAAAACCATTAGTGAAATATTATTCTAGGATAGATACACGATGAGAAGGAATTTAAAAATATAGTTTACATTTTCCCTTTCTAATAAGTGACTCAGAGGGACATTTAGTTTTCTACTTTAGTCATTAGTTTTCTGAATAATCTGAACTTTGGGACATACATTTTATGTCTAGTGCTATACATTCTTGGTCATTTATTTGAACGTATGTGTTGGACAAATTTCTAGAAGTAGAAATATCTAGTTAAGGGTATTTACACTTAAAATTGTGGTAAATACTTTCAAATACTTATACCAATTTATGAGCCAGACAACATCTTATGAGAATGTCTGTTTATGGGAATAGGTAGTGTAAAAACAAGCATATGCACTGAATTGATACATGAAAAAATAAGTTACAGTCTTTAGTGTATGAAGTATCCTTCCTTGTCTCTAATAAAGTATTCATTTATAAAAATTGCCCTCTTGATTTTGGTCCCCCAAGTTTTTCTTGTGTAAACACTCCTCAGATTGTTCTAAGTTTTTGTTTAATTCAAGGTCTGAAAATGTTCACATTGACAGTTTTTTGCCAGGGTTTTATTGCTTTTGAGGAGGAACAGATGTATGCAACTCCTTGCTCTACCATTCTGGAAATCCCATATCTGCTGTTTTCCGTATTGCATAACTATTTTCTACTACTTGATCACTTGGATAAAATGCCACAGCATTTCACCTGTGTCTCAATTGTGTTCTCTGATTTTTTATTTTCTCTTTCATATTAAGGAAGTCTCAACCTGCTACTGAAAACTATTCTTGCAGCAGTAAGATGAAATATAACTTAAAAGGCTATTTAAAAAGGTATAAAAATGACTACTAGCTGGGGCGCCTGGGTAGCTCAGCCGGTTAAGTATTGGACACTTGATTTCAGCTCAGTCATGATCTTGGGGTCATGAGATCAACCTCCGTGTTGGGCTCTGTGCTGGGTGTGCAGCCTTCTTAAGATTCTCTCTCTCTTCCTATTCTCTCACACTTTCTCTTTCTCTCTAAAAAACCCAACCAAACAAACAAACAAAAAAAAACCCCAAAACCAAAACCCTACAGCAATGTAGGGTTACCCCTTACCTGTGAATCAGACTCTCAAATTATGGAAATGGAGCTAAGAATAGTTAAGTAATCATATTTAACATGCCTTTCCTTTGTATAGTCATTTTTGTTAGTTTTGGCAGCATTTCTGAGACCATAAAATTTCAATACATATTTTCACTGAACAGATATGGACTCATTTCATATGCTGGTTTGAAGGACTTTAGAAGGAATTTAGCAGAGTTAAAGGCAACTCCAGGTACACTGTTGAGGATGAATTAGTAAATGTTGCTGGCTACACAAGAGGCTTTGCTGGCTTCATAATTTTGAAAAATATTTGCAAGACACTATCATGATTGCTCTTTCCAGGGCAGTCCCTTAGAGGGGAATTAATGTTGATATGATTTGGAGAAGGTGAGCCTGGAAAGAAGGGCAAGTCTATTTTTATTGATATTATTGTTAGAAAACATCTACAATATTTGAAGCAGTGTAAATGTAATTGTTTCTGAACAGCTGTTAATCTAACGTGATTTAAAAACCAGACTATAAAATTTTCATATGTATATGAGAATATTCCTATTTTTACTGGTTAAAGAAATGTATCCATGTGCATGTATGTATCAGTGGTCTTTTAAAAAAATTTGTGTTCCTTTTCAGTTTGTTCTTAATGATATAACAATTATTTACAAAAGGCCTATAACTTGGGAAGCCTCCATAAGTATAGTAGTTGTGAACAAAGCTGACATCCAACCAATTATGATCTGTTTCTTAAAATATTATATCAGATGCTTTTCCTTATGTATTGGCAAATACTCAATTAATTCAGCTCCACTATAAGAAAACCCTTGCCATGATAGCCACCACAGCCCCTCCCTCAGGTGCCTCAAGACTTCCCAGCAAGCCAGCAGCAACTAAAGGGTTAAAATATGACTCATTGGGGTGCCCCAGGACTTTGATTTGGTGTCCTTTCTCATTGGCCAGACTAGAATATAAGTTTGTTAATTATTTCAAATATTAGCCATGGGTACAAAGATGAGTAGCATGGCTCCTGCCTCCTAGGAATTCATATCTGTTGGTGGAAATATATATCCATAAATCATCTCAGTACGAGGTACACTCTGATATACCAAAAGCTTAAAACATGGGACTGGAGAGCATAGTAGCAGGAAATATTAACCCTAACACTGGGGATATGAGAAGTCTTTTTAGGGGATAATGGGTTTGATTTGTACTTCAAAGGATAAGCTGGAAAAAAAAAAAAAAAGATAAGCTGGGATTTCTTAGCCAATATGGTGGAGAGGGCATTACAGCAGAGGAAACAACCTTATTGAAAACACAGAGAAGATACATCATGTCAGTAATGAATAGAAAAGTGTGTCTGTAGTGTGTGTGGTAGGAAAATGCCAGCTGACATGCAGTTACAAATACAGACAGACTTTGGCGGACAGAATTTTGTTTTACTTCTTACTACAGTGGGAGCCATTGAGGATGTCTGAGGGGCATAAGTCAACAGAGTTTTAGAAAGAAAAATCTAAAGGTAAACTACAAAACAGATAGGAGGGACAAGAGAGGGCAGTTGGATCTGAGAGATCCTTTAAAAGCCTTTGGTAATGTTCTAGTTTATCAGTTCTCAATATTTGTGCTTCTTGTCTTAAAAGCAGACCTTGAGAAAAGAGTTTAATTTCAAGTGGCTTAGATGAGAGTTGATCACAGGAAGCACCCTGAGGGAATGGGAAGGTAAGATGCTATAGGGACAACGTCAACAAAAAGTAGGCTAGATATCACACTACTGGTGAGACATGGGGAAGCTCACTGGGAACTTTCAGGGAATGTTGTCATGCCAAAGGACAAGCAAATTGTGGTAATCATCCACTAACTCCAATCCCTCCCTCATTGGCTAAAATTTGCTCTTAGGGCAGATTCCCATGGCAATGCATCAATCCCTACTGGAAAAGTTATAGGAAACCAATGCTGTGTTTGGAAACTGTCTGCAGAGGGGATTTTTGTGGGACACCAAGAGCACATACTACAGTGGGTATCATGTCATACTGATTGGTAGGTAGAAATTTTGAAAAATGGATGGATTTGGAATTTTTGCAGCAGCCTGCAGTGAGCTACGATCATGTTTCAAGTGTTTGCTATGGAGGCTTGAATTTGAATGCCTCTTTGGCCATGGAACAAAGAGTGAAGATTGATCATTTTAAATGAAAATTAAGGATAGGGGCACCTGGGTGGCTCAGGCAGTTGAGTGTCCAACGCTTGATTTCAGCTCAGGTCATGATCTCAGTGTCGCTAGACTGAGCCCCCTGTGGGGCTCCATGCTCAGTGAGGAGTGTGCTTGAGATTCTCTTTCTCCTTTCCCTCTGCAGCGACCCCAACCCCCCACTCCCTGCCCCCAGCTTGCACATCAATGCATGGGCTCTCTCTCTCTCTCTCTCAAATAAATAAATCTTTAAAACAAAAGAAAGAAAAAAGTTAATGGCAGACTGAACTAGACCAGTGATAGTGGATTAAACAACAGAGGAAGAGTTTTCAAAGAAATAAAAATGGAAAATGATGTACTAACAACTTGGGTTTTCAGCAATTCAAACTCTGAGATGGGAGATTAGTTGGACATTTATTAGGGGATGTATTATGATAAACACTTGTGAAAGGAAAGGTAAGAAGGTATATTGACCAGGAAGACAAAGAAATTAGGCTTCTAGACAGGTCCAGTGAAGGCTTTTAGTCAATTCATTGGGGTCTCTTAAGCTAGGATGGCCTTTGGAATTGTCCCAAGTTAGGAGAAGGGGACTGGACCTTTATGCTGCTGTGTTGATAAGTAATTGAAAGTGGACTACATGCGGAAGTGGGTTTGACCCTGGATAAGGCATTTTTTTCAAGCTAAGGCAATGCCCAAAGAAGGCTGACCTCATTCGTGTCTTCCAGTGTCATTCCCTGTAGCTACAGGAATAAGTCCTTCATTCCTGATGAGGAATGTGATTGATGCTGTGCTGTATAGGGTCCACCACAGTTCCATCTGATAAAAATTGGATATGGAGAGATAAGGGAGAAAGGAGAGTCAAATGTATTTCTGATAGTAAGCAACACTAAGGAAGGTGATATAATTAACTGAGAAGTCTGTCAACTATACTTCCTTTAAAAATTTTTTTATTAAAAATTTCAAACATTCACCAGGTTCAAGTGGGATTTATTCCCAGTATACAAGTGTGGTTCAGTTTTCACAAATCTATCAACTTGATACTTCACATTAGTAAGAGAAAGGATAAAAACCAATTATCATTTCAATAGATGCAGAAAAAGCATTTGACAAAGTACAACATCCATTCAGGATAAAAACCCTCAACAAAGTAGGTTTAGAGAGAACATACCTCAACATAATAAAGGCCTTATATGAAAAACCCACAACTAACATCATACTTAATTGGGAAAAACAGAGCTTTTCCACTAAGGTCAGGAATAAGACAGGATGTCTACTCACCCCTTTTATTCAACATAGTGCTGAAACTCCAAGCCACAGCAATCAGACAACAAAAAGAAATAAAAGGCATCCAATCACTAAGGAAGAAATAAAACTCTACTATTCACAGATGACATGATATTCAATGTAGGAAACCTGAAATACTTCACCAAAAAAAACTACTAGAACTGATAAACGAATTCATTAAAGTTGCAGAATACAGGATCAACATATAGAAATTTGTTGGATTTCTATATACCAATAATGAAGAAGCAGAAAGAGAAATTAAAACAATCCAATTTACAATTGCACCAAAAATAGTAAAGTATCTAAGAATAAACTTAACCAAAGAGGTGCAAAAACTGTACTCTGAAAACTATCAAACACTGATGAAAGAAATTGAAAATGACACAAGGAAATGAAAAGACATTTCATGCTCATGAATCGGAAGAACAAATATTGTTAAAATGTCTACTC